ATATTCTATCTTCCTAGTTTTTCCTATAACCTTTTATCTGTTAGTAAGATTACTAAATTACTAAACTGTATTGTAACATTCTTCCCCACACATTGCGTCTTTCAGGACCTGATCATGAGGAAAACGATTGGGACGGGACATGAACAGAACGGCCATTATAAATTGGACTTGGACGCTAAATATTTAGCTTGTATCGGAAACTCATCAGCTTTACAGTACCACTGTCAGCGAGTACATCTCTCTCTCTGTTCTTAAGCTTCTAAATCTTCAGTTCAAATCTCTTTCCTCATTAGAGTGTGAGTTGTGTCAACTTGGCAAACACCATCGTGTGTCTTATCCTAATCGAGTCAATAAGAGGGCTGCAAAGCCATTTGATCTTTGCTCATTCTGATGTCTGGGGGCCATACCTAATAACTTCTAAATTGATATTCCGATACTTTGTCAGTTTTATGGATGATCACTCTCGTGTTACTTGGATTTAAACTCTTATTCTGAAATAGTCAATTAATTCAAGACTTCGATAAAAATTTTCCGATCTGATAATGTAAAGGAATATTTGGATGGCAACTTTACTAGTTTCCTTGAACAACATGGAATCCTTCATCAATCTTTTTGTGTTTACACTCCTCAGCAAAATAAAATTGCTAAACGAGAATAGACTGTAGGCATCAAAAAATGCTAATAGATATCCCAAGCATAGATAAGATCATTCAAAAATTCACAAGAAAGGATTTTATACTGTTTTGAAAAAATCAAAACAAGTATGAACTGTCTCGCCAGCGAGACAGTCTTTGCTGTCTCGCCAGCGAGACAGTGTTGAAATAGTCAAAACTACATTTGTAACTGCCCTACACGTGTCCATTAACTGCCAAGGGACGTGGGAAACATCATGGGCGAAAATCACGTGGATAACTGCCAAAATAACGGAGTTTGAAACGTGGAAGAACAGTTACAGCGAGAAACTGCCATTTTCCGAGACAGCATTTACTGTCTCGCTGAGCGAGACAGCAAATTTACTGTCTCGCGGGTCGAGACAGCAAACGCTGTCTCGCCCAGCGAGACAGTAAACACTGTCTCGCCGTACTGACTTCTTCGATTGTTAAGTTTTTGCAGTTACAGACCCTTGAGGGTATAAATACCCCCCTAGGGTCACTTCTGACGAGGATCGAGCATTTGTTAGAGCATTCCAGAGCAGAGAGAGCAGAGATTTGGATTCTTTTCTTGCAACGCCTTGAAATTAAGCTTTGACTTGATTTTAAGAAGAACGACTATCTTACTTCGATAAGATATCGTTTCAATTTCTACTTCGATAACGAGGTTAGAATCATAAGCCCCCTCTTCACGATCTGTGAATCGGCGGTCCACGAACCAAAGCGTTCCCGGCACAGGCAAAGTCCCACGAAAACGAGAATTGATAGACGATTTTCGTGTTTGTTTCTCAAGAGTTGTAATTTTTGTTTTGTTGTGTAGAAAAAGTCTTATAAAAAGATTATTCTTTCGAATTTGTTGTAATCGAACAAAGTTATAATGAATTCCACAGCAGCGACTTTTGAACCAAACAAGCTGGCGACCACAGTGGGAGCCAGCGGTCTCGCTGCCGAGACCGCAGTGTCGCAACCGATCAAGATCATCATCAATGAAGAGATCGAATACGAATTCGATCAGGCGAAGTTTGAGGAGTATTTATCATCCTCATCCGCGAAATCTTCCTCGTCTCGCAAATATAGGAAGATTTCAAAAACTTTCAAGTCTGCAATTCCAACGGAGGCCGCAGACAAAGATTCTGGCTCGATCGTTGTTAAGGAATCTCCTTGCAACGTCCCTGCTCAAAACGACTCTACACCAGTTACGGAGTCGTTGATCAATAGCTCACCGGTGCTGACGAAAAGAGCTCGTCAGAGACAGCGTCAGCGCCGTGCTCGACAATTGGCTAAGGCCATGCAACAAACCGACGGGGTCCATTACTATGCGGACCTAGAGTCGAGGAAACAGAAAGCGGTTCAATTGCCCCAACGGCAAAATAATTGTATTTCTGCAAAACTTACGACGGAGGAGTGGACTCTCGTCAAAAGGGCCCGTTCAACCCTCAAGGAACGGATACAAAGGCGTAAGGCGAAGGCTGCCCAAACTCGCGCTCTTCGTCAACAAGCGCAAGGAACCAAGAAAGAGACAGTGTCTGAAAAGTCACCGAAGAATCGTAAAGTCTGGATGCCAAAGACGCCGCAAGCATCTGTTCCGGGCCCATCTACTGCGTCGTCGGTGAAACCCTGGGTTAGCCCAGATTTGTCTAAGTTTAAAGTGACAATGGCAGATCGCCTCGGTCCTTCGGTTGACGATCGAGGCAAAGCCCCAGTTAAACAACCATCAGATGCTGCAAATAAACCCATAGTGGTTTCATATGCAGGGGGTCGTAAACACCCACCTGTCAGAACCTCACAAGTCCAGAACGAGAGAATACCAATTCACTCTCGTTTAGGACCTATGAAAACTCCACTCCCGCAAGGGGGTGGATTCTTTCAGTTTGAACTTGTAATCGATAAACGGTGTAACAGGTTTGAAAATAATGGAAAAGGCAACTTTTGACACAAACAAACTGGCGACCACAGTGGGAGCCGACAGCTTTTCTGCCAAAGCTGTAGTGTCGCAACCGAAGATCATCATCCCGATCAACGAGGAGGTCGAGTACGAGTTCGACCAAGCAAAATATGAAGAGTACTTATCCTCCTCTTCCCGATCATCCTCCCCTCGTAGGAATAGGAGAAACTCCACGAGAAAAGGTCGAGGACACTTGGATTTGAAGGTTCAAAACCAAGGACCTCATCCTGCAGCGGCTCAAGACACTCCTTGCAAAGCTGAAGC